TGCTAGTCAGTCCAGGGCCAAAATTATGCAATATAAATTGCAACATCAAACCCTCAAAAAGGGAAATTTACCTATGATAGAATACTTGAACAAGGTCAAGGTTTGTTGTGATGGGCTAGCTGCAGCTGGGCAGAGAATCAGTGAGGATGAGCAAGTTACTCACATCCTAGTAGGGCTTGGAAGTGAATATAACCCAGTTATGGTGTCTGTGGGTGCTAGAATTGAGCCTTATAAACTGAGAGAACTACATGCTTTGTTGCTTAGCTTTGAAAGCAGACTAGAAACATTTGAGAACCCTCAGTTTGGCTTTAAAGGCTTTAACCCTAATGCTAACTACTCAGCCATGGGAAACTCATCTAAAAGAGGGGGTTTTGGAGGAAGAGGAGGAGCACCTCACAACTTCAATGGCAACCGAGGTGGTAGATCAAATGGAGGAAGATCAGGCCCCTTTAGAGGCAGAGGTGGTAAGATAGGAGGAAGAGCCAGGTGCCAAATTTGTCATCTTCAAAGCCATACTGCAGATAGGTGCTGGTACAGGACTGATTTAAGCTTTGTTCCCAACAATCAGAGGAATGGAAACTCAAGCAGCCAAAGCTTTGGCAATGAGCAAGGGTCTTTTATGGCTAACATGGCATGTGTTGGGTCAAATGATGATGGATCACATGCATACTGGTACCCTGATTCTGGAGAAACAAACCACATAACACATGACCTCAGTAATCTCAGCATTGCTTCAGAGTTTGGTGGAAATGAGAGAGTCTTAATGGGAAATGGCACTGGCCTTGACATCACTCATCTTGGTAATGCCTTTATGAAAGGACCTGCACCTAACAATCACTATTTTCTTCTTAAGAACTTATTACATGTACCTGAAATTACCAAGAACTTACTGAGTGTCTCACAATTTGCACAAGACAACTCAGTCTTCTTTGAGTTTTATCCTAAATATTGTCTTGTGAAGGATCAGGGAACAAGAACAACCCTCTTGAGAGGAGAACTTAAGGAAGGATTATATTACTTCAAGCTCACAGGCAATAAAGATGTTGCTGGGGACAGAAATCACTTCAGAAGGGAAATCAAAGTTAAAGCATATATTATGGCAAATTCCAGTTTTATTTCTAAGAATTCTAGTTTAAATTTATGGCATTGTAGACTTGGCCATGCAGCCACTGATGTAATCAAGAAGGTGTTGAGCCATTTAGAGCCACCTCTTGAAGTTAATAACGATATTGAACCATGTGGTGCTTGTTTGCAATCAAAAAGTCACAGACTGCCCCTTTATGATTCAGTTATTGTCTACACTGCACCCTTTCAACTTATTTACACTGATCTTTGGGGTTCATCACCCATCAAGTCACAGACTGGTTACAACTATTACATGAGCTTGGTAGATCACTACACCAGGTTCACCTGGATTTATTTGTTGAAGGCAAAAACAGATGTTACAACAACTTTCTTGCACTTTAAAAGATTAATTAAGAATCAGTTTGGTGCCACCATTAAATCCATTCAAAGTGATGGTGGTACAGAATTTAAACCCTTAAACAATATCTTTCTTCAGAATGGCATTGTTCACAGACTCTCTTGCCCTTACACACCACAACAAAATGGCTTGGTTGAAAGAAAGCACAAGCATATAGTTGAGATGTTTATCATTAATGACTCATGCAGGGATACCATTGAGGTTTTGGGATGAAGCTTTTACATCAGCTGCGTACTTAATAAACAGACTTCCCACCAAGGTGTTGAACTACAAGACCCCCTATGAAAACCTACATGGACAGAAGCCTGACTACAACCTACTCAAGGTATATGATTGTCTGTGTTATCCATACTTAAGGCCTATTAATAAACAAACTTGAGGCCAGAAGTCAACCTAGTACCTTCATTGGGTACAGTCCCCAACAAAAGGGGTATAAAGTGTTGCTGCCTAACAAAAGAATCTTTATCAGTAGGCATGTTGTGTTTAATGAATCAAATTTTTCCTTTCTTGAAAAGATATCTACAGAAAATGATCAAACTGGGGCCAATCAAGTGTTGCAATCACCAGCCTTCTTCAATCCACCTCTTCATGAATCAATGGTTCCAAATCACACCACTCTTGCCTTGGATATTGATGACCAGCAAGGGGTTGACATCAAGACTGACACTGCAGGACAAGGCATCAACACTCCACTTTCTGTGAGCCAGTGTTTTAAATAGCGCATTTTAGCGCGCTATATCGCGCGCAATAGCGCAAATTTCATCAAAAACGCGCCATAGCGCACATAATTTGGCGCAGTTCCAGAATAGCGTGCGCTTTTTTATGATGTGGCACGCTTTTTTCGCGAAAGCGTACGCTATTTACGTAATAGCGTACATTGCGTGCGCTATTTGAAAAAAAAAAAAAGAAAAAGTAAAATCCAATTCTCAAGAACCTGACTCGCATACAAACAATAAGAGAATAATTTTAGTTTTTTTTTTCTCTAATTGGCTAGGCTTTAGCTGGCATGCCTACAAAATAAATCTGTAGCCAACAACCTTTTTTTTTTTTTATTTTTTCGAAACAACTTTTTCATGTCAATATTTATTGTAGTTCTCCTTTTGCTTATTGGTATGTGCAAGCATGAGAAAGGGGTTTCCTTCCCTAGGTGATTTTACTAGTAATTAATAAAGGTTTCAATAAAGAAGAAATTGATATTTTTTTACTCATGTTTTGGCTGAAATGTAATTTTAAACTTTTAAAAGATGTGTATGGATTTATGCTTATTGTGAAATGTAAAATTTTAGATAAAAATTGAACAAGCAATTTTTTAATGTAAATTTAATGCTTCATAGTCTTAATACTATTATCTCTTGAATATTTGTTAAATCAGCATTAGCAATTAATTACTTTATACATAATTAGGAAATATTCAAGAGAGAAAACAACATAACTTGGGAGGAAAATTGTATTAAAGTGCATAACATAACTTGGGTCTGATCTGATTACATACCTAGGTCAAGGGTACAGGCTTCTTTGTCATAAATAAATAAATAATGTCCAAGTTTATGGTTTAATACTATTACAACTATTTATTTAATTGTATGGTTATATATATTATTATTTTTTGCATTAAAAGTGAAATGCTTGAATAGCTTACGCAATGCGCTACGCTATTTACGCTACGCAATATAAGGACCAAAACGCGATGCGATGCGCGATGTGCATTTGAAAACACTGCTGTGAGCACATCAGGTTTAAATTCTTCAACTATACAAGTGGGCAGAATAACCATTGATCTCCCCATTGCCAATCCTACTGATGCCAACCAAACATCCAGCTCAGAGAGCTCAAGAAAAGTCAATCCCTCACATCCCATGATCACAAGATCAAAGGCTGGAATCAGAAAGCCAAAAATTTATGCAGCAAAAACTCAGACAAGTGGAGAGCCTAGAAATATTCTTGAGGCTTTCAACTCTGAGGAATGGAAACAGACAATGCAAAAGGAATACAATGCACTCTTGTCTAACAATACTTGGTCTTTAACTCAGCTCCCACAAGGAAAGAGTACAGTTGGCTGCAAATGGGTTTACAAGGTTAAGAGAGATGCACAAGGGAAGATAGCAAGGCACAAGGCTCGGTTAGTGGCCAAGTGATACACACAAATGGCTGGACTAGACTATCAAGACACCTTTAGCCCAGTTGTGAAGCCAACCACAATCAGATTGATCCTATCCATTGCTGTCACTCACTCATGGCCACTGAGACATCTTGATGTGGACAATACATTTCTAAATGGGGACTTAGATGTGGATATTTACATGGATCAGCCACCTGGATTTGAAAGAACTCAAGAATCAGGCTTACCTCTTGTTTGCAAACTAAACAAATCTATATATGGCCTAAAACAGGCCTCAAGGGCCTGAACTCCAAGCTAAACACAACATTTAAGTCTATGGGTTTTACCATTTCAAAATCGGATCCATCTCTATTCTTCAAACTTGAACATGGATCTTGTATTTTTGTGCTGGTATATGTTGATGACATAGTGCTTCAGGATCCTCTCAGACAGAAGTTCAACAGTGCATAAATAAGTTAAAGAGGGTATTCTCCATCAAGGATTTGGGGCAGTTAACACATTTCTTGGGAATTGAGGTATCCTATAATGATCATGGGTTAGTGTTAAGCCAAAAACAGTACATATTGGACATCCTGCAAAGCCTACAAATGCAGGGAGCCAAAGGTGTTGCCTCCCCCATGATTTCACACCCTCTTTTGTCCAAATTTGATCGACAACCAATGGAGAACCCTACACTCTTCATGAGCATTGTTGGAGCCCTACAATACTTTACTATATGCAGGCCTGAAATCTCTTACAGCGTAACTAAGATAAGCCAGTACATGGAAACTCCCCGCAAAGTCATTGGAAAGCTTTGAAGAGAATCCTTAGATATCTAGCTGGCACACTTGACTATGGACTGAATATTAAGAAGGGAGCTCTGCACTTAAGAGGTTTTGCCGATGCAGATTGGGCTGCAGACATCAACGACAGAAAATCTACAAGTAGAAATTGTATTTTTCTAGGTCCCAACCTCATCACATGGAGTGCCAAGAAACAATCCACTGTATCTCGGTCCAACACAGAAGCAAAATTCAAAAGCTTGGCCAGTGTCACTTGTGATGTTATTTGGCTTTGAACCTTGATGGTTGAACTTGGATTTTTAATTAAAGGGCCCACCACATTATGGCTTGACAACCTTCGAGCTGTTCATCTCTCTCAAAATCCAGTCTTTCACTCTAAGACAAAGCATATGGGCATTGATTTTCATTTTGTTCGAGAAAGAGTTGGCTCTCATGAAATTGTTGTTCATCACCTTCCTTCTCTTGAGCAAATTGCCGATATCTTTACAAAACCTCTCTCCGGTCAATTCTTTACTCGTCTTCGATCCAAATTTGGCATTTGTCTCAAACCCTAGTACGAATTGAGGGGGGCTGTTGACCATATTAAACATGCAGGACCGGCCACGTCCACGTCACAATGCCATGCAGACACATGCAGCCAAAAGGACGTGTGGGCCAACTCTCAACAACCAGCTGCAGGTGCTCTCTATGAGTCATGCAAGAAGACAAACAACAATAACAAACCTTATCCTCCATTGTGTGGTGTAGAATGACCTAGGGATTCTTAGTCTAGACTTTAGTATAAATACTAGAGAATGTGAGCCGCAATGTACTAAGAAAAGTGAAAGAAATTTCAGATTGATGTAACAAGTAATGAATGCAAATATGGTTTTCTTCCCAAAAATCTTTCTCTATTTCTCACTGAAAATCAATCAGGTGCGCTTCACGTTCGTCCAACCGCACCGTCTCCCCTATTTCTTACATAAAAATCCATACGAACAAATTTATGAATTCTTTAATTTATTTTATTAATTCACCAACACAATCGACAATGTGACTTATGGGCTGGTTAAATGTACTCCGACCTTTCATAAAATTCACAACGAAATATAAAATTTCAAAATACAAATATTGACCTTCTGTTTCATTTATTTTTAATGAGTATTATTATTATATTACTGATCACGAGCATCAATTTATTTATATAATATGCAATAGAAGAAGATGTGATACAAATCACAGACACAGACATACACAAAAAAACATAGCAGCGGTCAAACAGCAAAAGCTATTAATGACGAAATAGAAA